GTGTTTGCCTTCTGCCATTTGCCTTCTGGATTTCTGCTCAGTAGGAAGTGAGGCACAAGACAGCAGGGCCAAAAAGAGAGCTAGCTGTAGAGTGAAGCCTTCCCATTCTTTAGATTTAGTGCCTGTTTCTCTCCGTGTGCAGGGAGAGATCTGGAGCAATGTTACTGTTCCCATGTGCCCTCACATACCCCACCTTGATTGGGCTTCTTTTGGCGGTGGCACAGGATGGCGGGATGTGCAGTTATGGGTCCCGGGTCTCAGTCTGGATCTCCATCTGAGCAGGCCTGGGAGTGGCTGTCCCACGTGCAGTCCAGCTGCCCTAGATGCTGACCGTGCTTGTATGCTCTGTCAGCTTCTGCTGGCCAGCCGGGACCACCCTGTGAGCTTCGGTTCTCTCTACCATGGAACAGGACTCATGCTCCCTAGCCACTGGTAGACTGGCGCAGCTTCAGCTCCACCCTTGTTAGAATAACAAACCGTGGTAGAGAGATTAGCAGGGACTGGTCAGGCAATGTTGCTAGTAAGTGGGCATGCCTGAGAGAGCTCAGCATTGCTCTGCTCTAATGCTGGTGGATCCCAAAGAGAAATATTGAGGGTGACGGTGACCTGCGTGATACCCTCTAGCTGGGCAGAGGCCCTTCGCTTACTCTTAGGCAGGATAGGAGCAAGTCCCCTGAAGACCTATACTGAGCTGAGAACCGTGGGTTGGCTGAAAGTCTCGTAGGCACATGAAAGCCCTCAGTACCCTGTCTCATCAGGTGACGTGTGCATCTTCTTGTAAAATTCCACTTCCATGTGTGTGCATATGCATGTTTGCACGAGTCTTGGCACATGTAAGTGTGGGTGCAAGTCCATATGCATGCTTATACATATGGCAGCTCAAGCTTGATAGTCTAGAACCATCTTTGACCGCTCTCCCACAGTATTCGTTGAGACAACGTCTGTCAGTCAACCCAGAGCTTGCCTATATGACTAGCCAGCCTCTCCTCTCTCCACCGTTGATGCTGGAATTATGGACTCAGTGTGTTTACCTGAGGTTACACGGACTCTGGGAATCAGAACGCTGATTCTCGGGCTTGCTCGAGCAACAAATGATTTAGCCACTGAGCACTTTCTTGGCCCTGACATGCCACTCGATGCCATTCAAGGGCGCCCTTTTCTTCTGCAGGTGCACGAACGAACCGAGGAAATGGACTTCCTGCTGTTGGTGGTCCGTAAACTCTTGAGGACAAATTCACGTTTTGTGAAGGTAAATTTTAGATTTCCTTCTGTTTCACTTTACCAGCTGGGCACATATGTCTGGCAAAGTGACTCTTAACTGAGAAAATTCCTGTGTAACATTGGCCTGTAGGCAAGTAAGTAGGGCATTTTGTGACTAATGGTTTATGTGGATATACCCCACCCACACTGGGAGGAGCCATCCCTGGGCCAGTGGTCTTGAGTGATAAGAATCTGGCTGAGCAAACCGGAGGAACATCGGGAGTCAGTGCTCTTCCGTGCTCCATGAGGAGCAGCCGGGAGTCAGTGCTCTTCCATGCTCTCTGCTTCAGTGTCTGCCACCAGGTTTCTTCTTGAGGTCCTGCCCTGACTTCCCGCAGTGACCTGAGAGTTGTGAGAGGAAACTTTCCCCCGGAGTTGCTTTTGGTCCTGGTGTCTGTTATAGATGCCTTATTCCAGGTCCTGCAGGAAGTAGGTTCAGGGCATTCTTTATACTGTTTTAATTTGTATAATACACAAGAAAAAAACCCAAAATAGTCTATATAAAACTATATAAAAGGGAGACCTGCCCTTTTCTGCAGAGAAATGGAGGAGGAGGAGGAAGGAGTTGGGGAAGAGAGGAGGCTGGGGAGAGGGACTGGGTGGAGAGGGACTGGGTGGAGATGGGGGAGGGGAAATTGGTCAGGATGTAAAAACAAAACAAGACAAAGCAGTAATGGTGGGAGGTTGTGGAGGGGCCGGGCTCTGTGGCGGCTTGCTCCGCTTGCTCAGGTGGGCTCTCCTCACGGCAGGTGGTCCTCATGTCTGCCACCATCAACTGCAAGCAGTTTGCAGACTACTTCGCTGTTCCTGTTCAGAACAAGATGAACCCTGCGTATGTTTTTGAAGTGGAAGGCAAGCCACATGCTATTGAAGAGTATTACCTCAATGATTTGGGGCACGTTTACCATAGTGGGGTACGTTGGGTGCATTGCTTCATTTATAGGCTAGACTTTGCTTTCTGACTGAGTTCCCCAGGTATGGTGGTGAGGCCCTTTTAGAGCTCCTTAGAGCAGATACATGGGAGGAAGAGGGTGGAGAAAGGAAGGGAGGGCTTCTGCTGTAGGCGGTGAACATAGTATTCTCATTGCACAGCCTTGTGGGAGTTACTGCGGCCAGCTCCATACCTCACAGGTTCTGCTCATTATGAAATGGACACTCACTGGAGGACGGGACTCTTGGTTAAATGCATGCATTCTAGTGTAAGGGGAGTTCAGCCTGGAAGAATATTGTACCGTGACTGTGAACACTGGGCACATATTTCCGTAAGAGGCTGATACAGGTTTGTTTCTGTGTGTGGTAGTTTAGCATCTTGGAAGTCTAAATGTAAAGTAGAAGGGCTGTGGCACTCTTCCTTTCTCATCCTTCTGGGAGTGTGCTCAGTAAGAAAGTGCTGTATAGTTGTGTAAGACCCTGGGTTCTGTTTCCAGCTCATGAGCAAAAACTAAAGGCATGAAAACTTGCTTCACTCCTTTCCTCTTCCTAGCTGTCTCTACCCATCAGGCCTTGCTTTCTTTCCCATAAGAGACTGCCATTGCAAAGCTCACAGGGCCGCTTCTCACACAGTCAGGATCCTGCCAGGTAAATATGGGCCATTTCTTCTTCAGAGGTAGTGTGCTGTCTGCACACAGTTTTTGCCGAGCTCTCCACATCTGTTTGCTTCAGTAAATATTTGTTTAATTTCTCTTTTAGAGTTGCATGCCGTTCCTCCATGTGGCGGCTGCTCGTTGCCGAGCCTCTACCACCTGTGCTCCTACTGCACAGCTGCTCAGTAGCCAGCGCTGTCACATGCTGCTGTGCACGAAGGATAGCTGGTTTTGTAGGCCGCGGTTCCTCAGCCTCAGCACCACTGACACTTTTGGCCAGATAACCCTGTGTGGCAGGGGTATCCTCGGCATTGCGTGGTGTCTCTTCTTGTTCTTGTCCTCTCCATTATCACAACCAAAAACGTTCCTAGACAGTGCCAAATGTGCCTGTGTGGCCGTGTGTGGACCGCCTTCCTACAGCCTCTGAGCCTGGAAAGAGATTGTTGGGACAAACATTACATGTGCTTGCAATTTGGTGGATGGAGCCCAGCTGCTGAGAGTAGGAGCTGAGCTTCTCTTCCAGATACTTGCAGCGCTAAATAGGGGTCTGTACTGGAATGAGGTGCTGGCTAGGTCTCACCTGACGTCAACATCAGACAATTGTTAGTGGATACATTGATAAAAGGGTAGCCAGCTGAGGGTGTCTGTTCTGTGAGCACTCTGGTTGGACTAAACCAGCTGCCTAGAAGCCAGGGCCTTTTGGCTTATGGTGGATTGTGGTCAGCTTTTTGAAGGCACGGAGACTTACCATTGCTTACTACACAGCCTCTCCTTGGCATCTAGAAGGCACGCAGTAAATATTTCAGTGCACAAACAAACATGACTGGACAGAGTACTGCATGTTGAGTTTTGTTTGGGCGTTTTGGGGGAGGGTGCCCTTGTCTAGCTAAGCCACACTGTCACTTAACGATCCTGTCTAATACTGGTAATTAGGAAGGTGTTGTTTCAAATTTATTCCATTACAAACTTTCAACATCAGAGAATGTTTTCAAGTCCAGTTTCGTCATCATTCCTACTGTTGTCTTCGTGCCACGCCATGGTGTCCAGCCATGCCTTCTGTGCAACCTACCCCTGCTGCCTGTGCTCATCTCTCTCTCCTCTTGACCCACTGCTTATTGTCTTTTCCTTGTCTTGAGATCGCTCACTGTTGGGGTGTGTGTGTGTGTGTGTGTGCGCGCGCGCGCTCATGTGTGCATGCATGCATATGTGTATATGTTTGCTTTTTTGAGACAGGGTTGCTCTGCGTAGCCCTGGCTGTCCTAGAACTTGCTCTGTAGACCAGAGATCTGTCTGCTTCAGCTTCCTGATCGCTGGCATTAAATATGTGTGCCAACACTGCCTGGCTGCTCATCTCTTCTTGTTCATGTTTAAACATGATTGGCTTTCCTCTTGAGAAACATCCTCCTCAGTGCTAGGTTTCTTTGCATCCCTCGCCTGCCTCTCTGTCTGGGTGGGGGTGACAGTATGATCGCTGTCTCTTCCGCATAGCATAAGGTATATTTATTTACAGGCTCATTTTGGGACCTGTCACCATGTAGCAAGGTCAGCCTTAAGCTTACCTGGCTTTCTGAGGATACTGACATTGTTAGCCACTTTGGACTTTCTGAAACTCATCTTTGGTGCCCTAGTGATCTCTGGATTTTTCTTATGCCACTCTTAGGTGTTTCCTTTCAAGACCCTCATCAACTTGTGTTTTCATCTCTAGTTCTTTTGAGTATTAAAAACAAGACAAAAGGAAAAACAGTTACCTAAGTGTTTTGTGCATATACATGTACACAAACAAAAAACCATGAATGGTCCTTCTGTGTCCCCGTTAAAAATAAGTTCCAATAGAGTACTGACTGTAAAATCTCCCTAGCATTTAAGAAAAGCTGTTCTTCAAAGCTGAGGAAATAGAACATGGTATCAAATATTCTATTGTTAAAGGCAGCAACTACAGAAAGCTCTTATTTGCTCAATGGAATCAGTGCCTTTTGATGCAGAACGAAACCCCCCAAAACTATCCCAACTACTGTCAATACTTTCAAAACCAGCACATCAAACTTGATTTTCATTAGAACACTATTTTTCCACACTAGTAATTCAAAACCCAAGCCTCGTCTAAGTCCTTCCATTTCATGAGAAACATGAATTCTCTACTGCTGTCTGTGGCACTGATTAGTCATTCAGGATCAAGACCTCTGGCAAAGCCCCTTGGTTTGTCAGCAGTGTCTCTTCTCTTCTTCGATTTGCTACTGTCAGATTCACAGTCAGATAAAGATTTCCTTTCTGTACCATCTTTTTCTTTACCAGCTTTTTGAGAATTAAGAAATTCTTCAATTAATTCTGGACGATATAAATTATCTTCTGGTTCCCAAGTATTACCAGCGTCTGTGAACCCCTTCCACTTCAGGAAATATTTCATGACATGACGGTCCAGCACTTTTTCTACCACAAATTCTTCAGGCTCTGCCTCTTCAACTTTTTTATTCTTCCCATTCTGTTTCTTTCCCATTTTTTGAAATGTAGTTTTATCGGCCTTTTTTTTTTAAATTGGAGATTTGAGGGGTTCACTGTTCAGATGCTCAGGGCTGCGGATGCTGCCTGAGCTATGTGCGACAGCTCAGCTACCAATACCGTACTTCTGAGGTATCCCAGGCAGCACAGCCACTGCAAGAGTGGCTGTAAATGGCACTGTTGTTGTTGCTGTTATTATTATTTCACTTAAGGTGTTTTTAGAGTGATGGCTAAAGGGATGAACACACATCTAAACCAGCATTCTCCTGCAGCTCTATTTAGATGTTCTATTTCTTTTAATTTTTTTTCAGCTCCCCCCCTACCGTCTGGAGGAGCCAGTGATAACAAAGGATGTCTATGAAGTTGCTGTCTCTCTCATTCAGATGTTTGACGAGCTGGACATGAAAGAGAGTGGGTAAGAGTCTCTGCAGCTACATTTATGTGTGTAACTTGAAACATTGGTCACTCATTTGGGCCTTCTTAGTGTTTTTACAGTATTAAGATAATAGCTGTAGACACTTGGGCTTGTTTTGAGACAGAGTCTAGCGACATAGTGACAGAGAGGTGCTGGGATTTCTGGTGTGTGCTGTCACACACAGATGTAGATGCCTTTTCAGCAGTTAGCAGTCACTGGTCACTCTTCAGATTTCTACTACAGCAGTCAAAGCCATACTGAGTGCAGCTTTAGACTGTCTACTCTAGCTCTCTCTCTCTCTAATCTAGCTAATCTCTAATATCTATGTAATATTTGTTTATATCTGTCTGTTTCTGTGTGTGTCTGTCTGTCTATCTATCTATCTATCTATCTATCTATCTATCTATCTATCTATCTATCTATCTATCTATCTCATCTATTTTAAGCTAGTATTGGAGCCAGAAAACAGGATGATGGCTTTTCCAGACATAGGAGTCACATGGCTTTCTCTGCCTTGCCTTTGTTTTCTTTGTTGCAGAGATATTTTCTGATACCCAGCAGGCAATCTAGATGTTCATTCTTTTAGCTTTTTTTAAACTTGAGATTTTTTTTTTCCTTTCAGAACAATTTAGGTTCTAAGTGCTGGTTTGAGTCTATAATTTTAAAAATACTATGTTATTGAAGCTCTATGCTCCTAATTTTATTGCATCTCATAAATAGCATTTATTATTTTAGAGACAAATAATGGTGATGTATATTCTTTCTCCCTTAGTAACCAAAGCTAGATGGCTGGGGTAACATTTTTCCTATAGACCTTAGGAAACCCCTGAATTAATCCTTGTCAAATTTGGACTTCTTATCTTGGATCACTTTCATTCTTCCCAAATTACACCCTTCAAAAACTCTGTTGGTAAAATTTTTTAGCTTTTATTTGGGTAAAAGTTATTTTACTTCAGCTTCATTTTTTTTGTTTAAAAAAATCTAACTCAACAGATAAAAAATTGAGATGGGGAGATGGCTCAGTTGGTAAAGTGCTTGGTTTGCAAGTTTGAGAACCTGAGTTTGATTCCCAGGACCTACAGGGAAAAAAAGCCAGGCATGGTGGTGTGTGCTTATCATTCCACTGGGAAGGTGTAGGCAGGTTGGGCCCTGATTCTCAGTGCTCATCATGCCTAATTGGTGAGAATCAGGCCAGTGAGACCCTGTCTCAAAGAGCATGAGCAGTTCTTGGGGATGACATCCAGAGCTGACACTCAAACTTTTCTGTCACCTTCCCCCCCTTCCTCATTTCTGTCCTTCCTCCCCTCCTTCTCTCTCCCTCATCTTCCCTTTTCTTTTTCTCTCCTGCATGCACATATGCCTACACATGCACAAACCCAGCCACATCACTCCTGTGTCTGCGGTGTATAGCATGACATTTGGGTTGATTCAGCCTAATCGGTAGACACAGGCACATCTCTGGATGTGTGTGCAGTGCTTGTAGGTGTAGATTGGCTTCTCTCACTTGAAATGGTTGGGACCAGAAGTTTTTGTACTCTGGAGTATTTTCACAGACTTTTGTGGCTGAACCCATAAACACTCCAGACTCAAAAACATTTTGAGGCACATAGTTAAATGTCAGACTTTGGAATATTTCAGATTTTAGATGTTGAGAGTAGGAATACTTAACTTGTATGAAGTTCTTGGTTATTATTTGCTTCTTATATTTTATTTTTCTAATTTTGTATATATACACAGTATCATTGAGATAAGCATGTAGCAAGTGCATCTTTTTTTTTTTTAGCACTTTCTAAATTTTGATGCTATTTTCCTATTATCTGCTGGCTTGTTTTACTACAAGGAGAAACCTTTTTGTCTCACTGTTCTCTGTGGGTAAATGTATCTCTTCACTCTGGTTAACTATCAGATATATTCTTTGTTTTTGATGACCTATGGCTCAGAGCTGGGGTAGATGTGGCTTTCTCTTTACTTCCCGTGCTTGTGATTGGGTAGCTCATAGTCTCAACATTAGTGCCTGAGTCTGCCCAGCAGCCTTTCCTCCGGTGGCCTTTTTGCCTGAGTCCTTATTATGTATGCCACGTTCTCATTTTTCTTTGTTCTTTAGTCCCTAAAATTATACTGCAAGAAAGAATTTTCCTCTTCTTACTCATTAAGTGCTTTACCTGCTGAGCCATCCTCCCCAGCCCCGGCTTGTTTGTTTTTGAGACAGTTTCTCTGTGTAGTCTTGGCTGCCCTGAACTCACTTTGTAGCCTGGGCTGGCCTCGAACTCCCAGAGATCTGCCTGCCTCTGCCTGAGTGCTGGGGTCACAGGCGTGCACCACACCCAGCTTATCATTATTTTTTGATAAGTCAATTTTTATTTAACATTTTCCCTTTGATCCAACAGTTGTTTCCCCTGGTGTTGCTATTAACCCCTTTTTAGGCACGTTTGCACATGTTAAGCATATGCCTTATCCCACTGTGCCATGCCTCCAGTCCAGTTTTTCTTCTTTTTACAACTCTTTTTATCATTTGTTTGCCTGGTGCGCACAGAGGCCAGAATAGGGCACTGAGTCCCTGGAGCTGGGGTTGCAGGTGGTCATGAGTCATCATGTTGGTGCTGGGACTTGAACCCCGATCCCCTGGAAGAGAAGCGCGTACTTTTAACTGTTGAGCCATTTCTCCAGCTCCTGTTCTCTACATAGCACACTGTCCTGTTTGTTGCTTTTGGTCTTACTGCTAAGTTGAAGGGAAACTTATTTCACTTACTTTTTAATCTGTCTCTCTAGTCAGGGGGTAGGCTTCAGAGCGACATAGGGCCCTTCTGTCTGTTACTGCTGACCCCAGACTGCAAAGAGGAAGGCGTGAAGTGCAGGGAGGGCCCACAGGTCTATGGAGGAAGTAAATTGGTATCTCATACAGAAAGAACCATGGCAGGAGGCGGCGGTTACCCGAGACCCGCATCTGGAAGCATACTTTGTAGTGGTAATCTGGGCCTTGGTAAAGTTGTTATAGTAATCCTAAAGTTTAGCTTGGGTTTCTAGATTATAGTGTCTAAATTTGCAGGAAAGCTTTTGCAGATCGTGAGTCATGTAGGCAAATGCAATGGAAGTCAAGAGCCCTGGCTTATGGCCTGGCCGGCCTCTCTCTGCATGCCTCTGTCTTGTTTTGTGTGAACTGAAGAGCGTTACCTGACACAATCTGCAAGAGCTTTCATGAACAAAGCCAGTAGTGTCAGGTCTCAGCAGCAGGGACTCTTCTAGCCCTGACTCAAACTTGTTCACTCACATTTTGACAGGAACAAGACCTGGTCGGGGGCCCAGTTTGTGTCGGAGCGGAGCAGCGTGTTGGTGTTTCTGCCAGGTGTGAGTGCCATAATTTTGTGACTGGAATTTTAATACTCTGGAGAGCACATATTTGAAAAATGGTGTTCATGCTGCCTGTTCTCTTAGACACTGAGAACGTGAACCATTGTGACTCAGTTTGGCTGGTTCCCCTAACCTTTGCATTGCTACAGGAGTTCACAGTAACGAAGACTAACTTTTTAAAGGCAGTCTTGCCAGCTTCACAGCTTCTGGTAAGATGTTCTGCTTTGTTAAGAGCATTCCTTTGTGTAGTCATGAATGTGAGGGGATTGTCATGAGGTCGAAGTATGGCATTCATAATGAGAGCAAAGCATGAAGCTCTGTGGAGTCACCGACAGCCTCCGAGTCCCTTCTCAGTGCTTAAGGAAATGGACTTTTCCTGAACCTTTCTGAAAAGGCTCAATTGTGTTTAACAGCACTTTGTCAAATGACTTTATTGAGTAGCATAGTTTGATGAAATTATAACAATAATTCACATACTCTGTTGCTGAAAGGTAGCAGAATATATGAGTGTTTGTGCGTGTAGTGATGGAAACAAAAGAGAAGCAGCAAGAGAAACTTAATTTTGGAATGTAACATGTGAGTTTCAAATCTTTGTCACATTTGCTTACTGAATGGACTCATTTCATGTACAGAAACAGCCATTAGCTGGCAGGTCTTAGAGACTGCATCTGTACACCTTCGTCAAGTGACTTCTGTGTGCACATACATGAACATAAACACAGAGTATGGAAGGGGAGGCAACAGCAGAGTTACGCTGCTACTCAGCAATCCGGTTACATGTGGTAAGCACCGCCCAGCAGACGGTTGCAGGGGACATTGTACCGTCAGGTGTGTGACCTTCTGTTCTGTGCCAATGTGATTCAAGTCTGGTATATTATGTCTACGTGTCTCATTAATTGACTCATTTCTATCAGATCTGTGTTAGTGTTCTAACAAGGTATCGCCAATTGGATGGTTTAAAACAGGAGTGGTATGTTTTCTTCCTGTTAGGAAATTCAGTCATTCTAGAACAAGTTGTCAGGAGATATGCTTGCTCTCAGGCACCAGGCTCCTCCCAGCTCCTCATGGTCCTCTGGCTTTGGGTTGTCTTACAGCATTTCCACCCTTATCTCTGCTGCTGCCAAGTGGCATTCTCTATGCCTTTCTGTTAGGAGACCCACGGTCAAGCTACTCCACCAGCAGCTTATCAGAGCTAATTGTATGTGTGGTGACTGGTTCTCAATTTGAATTACTAGAGTTGTAAGCTGAAATATTTTGGAGACACAGTTGAACTTGTAAAAGACGCAAATATTGGTAACTCTCATGAGGCAGACTGCAGATGCCACTGTTTAAGTCCGTAGGTGTTTAAACCTACTGAGAAGGACCAGATCCTTTAAAGTATTATTATTAGTTTCGTATTCCTTGGGATCAAATCCAATTCCCCACTCAAAGACTCTGCCACCAAATTACACTTAGTCCATTTTTTTTGTTTATTTTGTTTTTGAGACAGAATTTTGATG